TAGGGCCTGTCTCACAGCCTCCCCACTGAAATGTAATCCCTGTTACACAATGTGAATATACTTCACTTCTGCTCATATGCCAGTGTGAACAGCCATATAATTAATACGTAGGAGTCGGCAGAGAACGTAGGTGAGTTCCAAATGGATAAGAAGGCACTTGAGTAATTTTAGTAGGAACTGTGATTATGATAATAATAATAATTACAACCTCAATAATGGCAAAGCATCCCTCTTATTTAAAAACTTGGGTTCTCATGGACATCAGGGATTACCTAAAAGGTTATCTCTCTGAGCAATCAGGCATGGCTTGGCCACTCCTCTGGACCATACATGGACCGACACATCCTGTAAACCTGGGGAATAATAATTTAATAATAATAATATTGTTGTTCTTGTTAAGACCCACTGTATTGGGCATAGATGAATAAAGAAGAAATAGAGAAATTTTCTAGGGGTCCAATTCAGGAACGTGATTAATTCAAAATTAAGCAGGGGCTTAATATTAAGCACATACTTAAATCCTACTAGCTGCATGTACAGGTGCAATGAATGCACTTGAATTTTCTATGCAAAAAATTCTGGCTCTTTAGAGCCTTCCCTGGCATGCATCTAAACGTGCACCCATCATGAACAAATTGCTTTCAAGAGGGTTAAGCTGTAGCCCCCGCCCCGCTGCCTGAGCTGAGCAGGAGCAATTTGGTCCCAGTCAGAGTCTACACATGCACTTTGGCACACTAGTTTAATGTACCATTTTCTAGTACCTGTATATACTGGTGCTAAAAAATGGCACATTAGACTAATCTACTGCGCAGGAAATGCTGCACACACATAGATGCTGATGATTTACTGCACATCACATTATTCTAATAGGCAGTAAAGCATCTCATGTAGATGCACCCGTTGAAGACCAGCTTAATTTTTTTCCAGAATAAAGATGGACCTAAGCACGTGCTTAGGTTCCTGGGTCAAAGCCAAGAAAAGCAGAGTGTGCTATCGTGCAAAATCTAACACACTTGTTCAGTTAAAGTTCAGTATTGCTCTTCAAAATGCGTGTCAGTCCTAACATTTGTCCTGTCCTCAAATATATAAACAAATGAAGGTAGACATATATAGAACTATAATATTTTGTGTGTAAGATTTAATATAAATCACATGAGAACTTAGGAGATACAGATGTAACATGTCAAATTAATTTGAGACTTATAGGCAATGCCTGATAGCAGCTAAAGAGGAGTCTGTCTGAAAGCCATGAAAAGAAAACATGCTAGAGATAGCTGGATCTATGTCTAGACTTGAGTAACTTTTCACTAATACCAAAATCCCCAGGATCCTATTCTTTGGCAAAAAGTCCACAGACAGAGATCTAGAAAGTCATTAAATGTGTTGTGATTTAGCTGGCAAGTAAACAGCAGACCACAGGTTGCAGAAGCAAAAATACCGTCATCAGAAAAATGAGATATTCATGAATATTTCATGGACTGGTATCTACTTCCATTAATGGTTAAATAGTAAGGAAGCATCTCTGAAAGTCACTGGTAAGGAGTAAATTTGGTCTTCCCATTCACCACAAACAGTGCCATTATTATTTTTAAAAGCTTAAGGAATGAGAGTGTGTATTCCAGCCTTGCACAAAGCTCCTTGTTTGCTTTTTGTTCACCAGGCATGCATCTTGATGCTGCAGCTCAGTTTGCAGCTTGCTAGCAGCAGTTCACCTGGGAACGTACATAAACACATCCACGCGAAAATCCAGATCTTCATCCCGACATCACCTTTTAAAGAGTCTGGCATGCTTTGCAGGTGGGGGGTTTTAACTGTTGTTAATTGCTGATAGATAAAAAGGTTGCTGTAATTTTTCATTATTTTGTACCTGGGGTCACTTACAGCAATGGACACATAAGTACCAAGCGCATTTATTTATTTGGAGTGATTGTTTCCCTGGTTTCAAAAGGGAAAAGAAATCCCAGTAGTTGCAGCCAAGTCTGTGTAATTTTACAAGCAAATAGATAACAATGTAAACTACCACCTTTGCATACCCTGAAGTAAAGTGTACAGTTATTGATCTGGGAAGGTTATACCGGTGAATGAACACATCTTTCATGAGAATTTTCAAAATAGGACTATGCTGTACACAATTATGGCTCCTGCTTAATGAGTATTAAGGCATTAATACTCATAACCTGCTCACATTAACAGTATTAATGCATTAACCCTGTGGGGTAGATCAATATTATTAGCTCCAGATAAAAGAGGCCACATGACTTGCCAAAGTCACACAAGGCATCTGTGGCAGAAAAGTGAACAGGGTCCAGACTTCTTGGCTAAGAACAGACAGTCAAAAAGCCCAAGGCTGAATCGATTCGATCGTCGCAGGTTGGGCTAAACTGCGTAGATTGAACCAATATGCCAGTGAACAGACATTCAGTTTTGAGTCCAGAAATGCAGCTGTGTGCCTGCGTGGCCCAAGACTGAAGCCAGGGGGCGCTCAAGCATGCCTCCTGGCTCAGCTGGAGCAGACAGCATGGGCCAAAGCTAACCCACCCACCCTGGTGGGGGTGGGGGGCTGCAAAGCATCCTGGGATGCTGGTGAGTTCATTGGAATCTGGAGGGGATCTGGGACAGAAGTTCAATAAACCCATTTTACTGAAATTCATTAAGTGTCATACTATATCTATCCAGGTTTATCATTAACCAGTTTCAGCCATTTTGAAAGCAATGGATGTGCACTGAATGGCTAGGGACTGAAGTTACACATAAACCGGTTTAGGTGATCAGAAACTGGTTTAAACCTGTAACAGAACAAAAGTTCACTGCATATAAACCAGTTTCAAAATGGCTGAGACTGGTTTAAGATAAACCTGGTTGAATGTAGCATCAGACTTAACTGATTGAGGTTAGACCAGTTTATGAAACTTCTGTCCCAGACCCCTTCCTAATTTAAGTTAAATCAGAGTCCTTCAGTATCCCAGCATGCTTTGCAGCCCTGGGCTGGCCTGGGCTGGGCTGCGCTGTCTGCTCTAGAGAGCAGGGCTGGTTTTGCCCCTCTGCTGTCTGGCCAGAGCAGGAGCGAGGGCATGGCCAGACGCCAGCCAGCTTGGCCCCCTGAGGCAAAGCGGGCAGGGAGAGGGTTTATTCCCCTGTCCCTCCCCTCTCCCACCAGGGGAACATAGCCAGGGTCTGCTAGCCACTGCCTCCACTGCTGATCCCCAGCCAGGCAGACCCCAGCTGGTATACCCTGGGGTAAAAAGGGAGGGGGAATAACCCCCCCGCCCCCTTTGCCCCAGGGGGCCATTCCAGTTGGCATCCGACCATGCCCCCACCCCTGCCACTGGAGCACTGAGTGGGGAGGGACCCTGTCATGATGTCCTGGGGACCACAAGCCTCTTCCCACTGGGGGAACTGAGCTGTGGGTGAGAGCAGGGTGGACAGAGCTGCTGCAGCCTGCGCAGGGCAAGCGGTGGTGGCAGGGCTTGGAGGGGTGGCTTTGGGGGCTAAGCAGAATTGTGGAGTGGCCATAGCCCCCCCAAGACCCCCCTAGCATTGCCACCGCTGCTTGCCTTGCACAGGCTGCTGCAGCTCTGCCCGCTCCACTCCCACCCATAGCACAGCCCCACCCCTTCCACTGGTAAGAGGATTTTCACTCCCCGTGACACCATGACAGGGCCCCTCCCCACTCCCCGCTCCAGTGGCAATGTCACGGTCATGGGCATGGCCAGATGCTGACCAGCATGGTCCCCTGAGGCAAATGGGGGCAGGGGGTTATTCCTCCCTCCCCTCTCCCTCTGGGGACCCCCAACTAGGGTCTTCCTGGCTAGGGGCTAGCAGTGGAGGTGACGGCTGGGGTTGGTGGACCCCAGCTGCAGTCCCCTGGTGGGAGAGGGGACAGAGGGGAAAATAAACCCCCTCCCTGCCCCCTTTGCCTTAGGGGGCCATGCTGGCCTAGTGTCTGGCCATGCCCCTGCCACTGGTGCAGCAAGGTGGGGACCCTGACAGGGACTCCTCCACCCCGGTCAGGCAGACCCCAACTGGGGAACCCTGAGAAAGCGGGGGGTGGGGAGAAGGGGGAAGGAGGAACAAACCCCCTCCCTGCCCCCTTTGCCTCAGGGGGCCATGCTGGGCTGGTGTCTGGCCACACTCCCTCCCCCACAAAAGCCTGGCACAGGCTGCTTCCCCCTCCCCTTCCAGGCACACCCCGCTGGGGTCCCTGCCAGCTAGTTTGGGGGTTTAAACCCCTCCCCAATCATACTCAGGCCTCCCAGGGCCTGGTCACACCCCCCCCCCCCAGCTCAGCT